AGCAATCTTTTTCCTATTCATCAACTAGTACTACCGAGTTTTGCACTGATTGCTCCACTATTTTTATTGATTGATATCATCAATTTATATATATACTATCGTGAAATGAGACAATATTTACTTGAACAAATATTCTACTATTTGAAAAACGATTTGAACTTTTTCATTGTTACTTTTCAACAACATGTACTCAAATATATTCTACGTAATGTTAAAAATGAAATTGTCAAGTGTTGATTTGTCTTTAAATCTTCTATATATAATAAAAGGGTGTGGATGTAGGTGTGGGTATATCTTTTTTCACACCCACACCTCACCCACATCCATACCCAAACCCACACACACCCACGCCTACAACAGAAATTTTCAAAGAAGAACCCACTTCAAATGTTTTCCTACTGATGTCGAAAAATTCGAATTTTCTTATCATCAGAGAGGATTAAAAAACAAAGTTGGTCCATTTTTTTCTTGTCAATTCACGATTTGAATGATGTGTAAATGACGGCTTTATCTATGGAGGCACAGAAGAAGATAGATTTGCTAGGTTCGAGGATTGATACGTAGGTAAACGATCTCAGTGAATTTTGTCTAGCGAAAAAAATCGTATCATAGTACTTTTTGGGGTTGTAAGGTAGTACTAAGAACTTAGGACTTGCACTAGAGTACATTTCATGTATTAATTACAGAAAAAAAAGAGATCACCTAATGATTTGTATAAATACTACTTCCAATATATTCTCGAAAAATAAACATAAATGATAACGAATAATTCGAATTTCTTATCATTCTTTGAGAATTTTATTACTGTATATTTTTAAATAGCATATTAACAAAAATCAATAAAATTAAATAAGAAGCTTTTTTCGATTCATTGAACAATATAATCATGACCTATTTGACAAATAAATGAAAACAATAATACAACTACACAAAAGATAAACCAAATATAAATTCCATATGCAAAGAAAATATAAATATTATCATTTTTGATTGAAATAAACAAATGAAGGAATAAATTATACAAAATTGTAATGAAAACAGTTTTAAATAAGCAGAAACAAATAAAATATAAATCAAATTTGTGATAACTGGTATGAACTATCATGACAATTGATAGATAAATAAAAAATTGCATTAAATATTTTATCCATGTCAAATTACTATTGAAAAATTGTAATAAAGTGCGTTTGAATCGATACCAACGATATCCTCGTTTCCATGGCCAATTGATCATTGACCAACGAGTCGATGACTAAAGAATAAAAAAAGATCTATTAACAATCAATTTTTTATGTTTGATAAATGCTCACTTGTCCTTCAATATTCCAATGAATTGAAAGCGGTAGTTGAGTATTAATTAAATAATAAATTCGGCATGAAATATTATCATTTGTATGTTGTCGAAAGTGTTGAATAACAGACTTGGGATTTCGACAAAAATCCGCTTCTTTTCGAAAGAATGAACGATCAGCAGAAAAAGATGCATTGGATAAATATTTAAATCCCTTGAATATATGAAGCATCAATGTTAACGATTTAATACGAGGTGTAAATGTCAAATGTTCTATATGAGGAAACAGATGAAATAATTCTTCAATGATACAATCGATATTTTCATCACTAACACGTATGTGAAGTGTACGAATGCGTTCAAATCGACAGTGACTTAGTCTGTCAACTGCATCGATTGTTACACTATTTTTTATGGTTAATTCATGCAATTGAGACATTTTAGACTCGAATGGTACAAATACTAATAAATAATCCAATGATGGTACAATCAAATTTTCGATTTGATTCAAATCAATGACTGGTTGAAGTCTCTTCAATGATATTGATAATTCAAGTGCGAGTGTTTTTATATGAGCTAAGTGATAATTATTATTAATATGAAACGAATTCACTGTAAATTTATTTAATTGTTCATAAATGAACGAATTATTGGGTGCAGTCGAACGAAACTGTGATAGATTATGTGAATCAATATGAACGGGAGCGAAATAAAGTAATGAAAAAAGATGTCCATTTTGAAAAGCAACATACCAATGTTTTTCTTCAAGCCAAAATGGAGTAGAAAATGAATCAAGCGTTTTTTGAATATCAATATGTGATACATTGAACTGGAAAGAAAATGTTTTGAGGGATCTAACTAATACTTGCCAGAAATTACCATCAGCAACATCGTCTTTAATACTTGCTTTCAATACCAGATGTTGCAAATAAGACAAATTGAATAAGAGTGTTTCTATGTGATCTCTCGAAATGCGTCGATCTATTAATTATAAATGAATCATATTTTTCTACAATTATTATCTTGATGAAACCATTCTATGTGTTCACATCTTTTTAACATTGATGAACATGGAATAGTCTCTAAAGAGTTTGGACCATAAGTATTTTCTTGTCAAGGATTTTACATGTATGTGAAAGTAATGGAAAATACTTTTGTTGATGATTAAACGAGAGGTTACTGTAAATATTTTTGGAGAGTAAACTTGATTATACTAGACTTTCCAATGTGTTTTCTTCACTATCAATCCTATTAGAAGATAAACTATTGTCTTTATGATTTTCATATGAAATCGAGTGTACATTATTTCAGTAATGCGTTAAGTAAGACAGCTATGGTGTCATTGTGAGATTTATTATCTTCGAACTTTTAAGGTTGCAGTGTTAAAAAATCTATGTATCTTTAAGTTCACTCTCAAGAAGACTTAGTTTGCTCCCATTTAATAGCAGCCAAAAAAGTCATTGGCGTTACTTTCACAAGCATGCGAAAATACTCGACATTGAAATACCCATGGTTTAGGTCTTTTGAAGGCTTTTCGTCGCCTGCCGAGACAGTTTAATAGAATGCGAATAGATAGGAGTATTCTCTTTTCAGTAAGAATATGGAAGTATGCGTTAGAGCACTTTGGGTTCAAATTTTTTAGAATGAACTCGAGCCAGACCCACATTCATAATATTTTTTATCGATCTTGATAGTTGATCCGAAAACTACGACACTCATTTTTCATTCGGATAGATTTAGCAATTAGCACGCCCTATATGCTATTTTTTCAGAGCATCTTCATTGTGATCATATAAGAACATGGAGATAATTGGCCGTTTTAAAATGGGGTTCAATCTGATAGACTCTACTCACTACTATCATGAACCGTAACAGCCATAACCAGGAAGTCAAAGTCCACTGAAGGATTAGTATGATAGTTGTTCTTTACATTTCTTTTATATCCGTTACAACATAGTAGGCTTATAAGACGTCTTATCTTCGACATGTATTCAAAATAGATGAAAAAAATATAGATAAATTCTCTCTTATAAAATATCAAGAGTTTCATTCCATACCACATTTTTATCCCGTAGGCATAGCACTAAGAGGATTTTATGATGAGTGTGTAACGGTGGTCATGCTTACTTTTGATTTCTAGATTAAGCCAAATGAGTTGATTGGATGGTAGGATTATGGTGGTATTTAATACATTCATATCAAAATTAATGTCAAGTGATTGAAGTTGTGGTGAATTTTGAAAAATAGTTTCAAGTTCATTTATAAAACATTTACCAAGTTTCAATTGACGAAGATGTGGCAGTGAAATAGATAATAATTCAGTGGAACTGTTTAGACTCAGACGATTTAGATGTGGTAATATTTGTTCATAACTACTCAACACAAAATATTTTAATTGATTAAATTTGTTTGAATAATCATCATTCCATGCCGAAAATTTATATCTAACGCTTTCCATATTAAACGAAAGTGAACGTAATTGACCAAGTTTATGTAAATCAGAAAAAATAGTTTTTAATGATTCGGATTCAATCTGAACCAATGTAAGCGATCGTAATTGAGTAAATTGTTCAATTTGAAAATACGAAAGGAAAACATATGATTGAACAAGCGTATTATTATCATCAGAAAGTCTGAGAGAAATAACTTGTTCTGGTAAAATACAATGCCGAATACGATTGAAATCAGACTTCTGAATCAAGCTTAAGTCTAGTCGATACGACGGATAAACGCACAGGATGGCATTCATATAATCACTGATGTCCGAAAAAACTAGAAGAATTTCATGTGCCGACAAGTAGGCGAATACGTTATATAATAATTCAGCAGGTAACAGATCTAACCAGCATTTGTATGACATGTTGGTGAAATAAATAAAATATAAATGAACTATTTTTCGAAATATAGTTTATAAGATTGTCAACGAAAACACATTAAAAATAATTCGAACAACTCTTGCTTATAAAAGCAAAATGTGATATTGTTATCACCTTCAAATAAAACAGTCTTGACACGCGTTCTTTTTTTTTTCTTAGTTTTCTGTCGTTGTGCTCACAGTCGAATACAGAAAAAAAAAATCGTAAATAGAATGCAAAAATGAAAATATGCTGTTTTTTTTCTACATGACTCAACAGAATCTTATAATGAATCACACTTTATCATTATAGTGTAACGATTTAATTTGCTTATTATTAATTCATTTAATTATTAGACAATATCAACATTCAAAATCAACTTATTTATTTCAATGAAATAAAGACTACTCTTTGCTCATTCAATGATATCGTCTTTAAATAGCATGGCCATCAATAAAACTTGCATTATTTGCAAAAATGAAGTCCCATGTTATCTATTCAAAACAACTTAGGCCTAACAGTATAGACAAAAATCAATAAAGCAGTAAAGAAGAAACGACTATCCAAGTTATAAAAAGATTTGGTCATCATTTTAAAACCTGATAATACCACGAGATAACACATAGCTAAATGCACAGTTGATTATGGATAAATCGACAGATAAGACGAATGGTGGAAAATTTCAAATGTACATTATTTTTCATTCGTTCTCTTCTTACTTTGAGCTTCTAGACAGCAGCCATCCAATTTTGAGCACTCGTTTTTGACAATTCAAGAAAAAGAAATATTGGGAAGATTCTTTCGAATGCTTCAATAGAATTCACCATAGCACAATAATAGTTTGGTTTTTCTGAGTGTAATTTTGACGACGTGAAACTTCTCCAAAAATCGAAGTTTTATTCAATCACTTAAACAGAATTATTTATGTTTGACATGTTTCATAATTTTCTAAATAATATTCAATATTATGTAGTGAAAATGCTGTGTAAATATTGACCTAATGCTTTGCCATACAGATGTTTGCAACCTATAAAATAGCAACAAAAAGTAAGTAAAAACGATATTTTCTTTATTGCAATAGGATTTCATATTTATATATTCATTGAATGATACAATCCTGAGGGCGTGGGTAGGTGTGAATGTGGAGTGCGGGTGTGGGATGTGGGTAGGTATAAGTGTGGGTGTGACTGTCGATGTGGATGTGCATGTAGAAAAGATCCACATCCACCCACCCATACCCACACCCACCCACACCCCCATTTCCACACCCATGTGGAAATGGGAGTGCGTATGCCTGTGTGGATGTGGGTCTTCCTTCCATTCACATCCACACCAACATTCATCGTCACACCGTACCCACATCCCACGCTCCAAGTCACGCTCACACCCACACCCATGCTTAGATCCCACACAAAGCCCAAGCCCGCCCAGCCCCGCCCACACCCACCCACACACTCACCCGTAGCCACACCGCGCCCTCCCCCATTCTCACACCCCACATCCACACCCACGTACATATACAATTGAATATATAAACAATCTAATAGAAACTATATCATTGCAATTCAAATTAGGTTATGCATGTGGGTCATCGCATCCACACCCTATATTTTGTTCAATTGAGAAGATCTTTTAAATTAACTTTTTTTTTGATAAAAAAGTTTTTATTTGCATAAAATAAAATTTTCTTTATCTGATCGATGTAAAAATTAACTTAATCCAATTTATTCTTATAGGAGTATGTGTCTTGCAATAGACTTGAAGGGGTAGGTTTCTATAGTTTTTTATTTTAAATTTCACTTGGAAAGATAGATTCAAGCTCTCACTCATCCAAACATATCATTTTGGAGGGATTCAAGTTCTTACAAGCCTTTATGATTAGAATAAAATAATTGCGATGTGCACTTTAAAAAGTGATATTATCATATAAGTAAATGGTAATTTTAGTTATGACTTTTATTTAACGAGGTCCATCAGCTAAAGACATTGTTCGATTTTGTTGCTGTTACTCTAGCGAATGATATCTTTTGAGTTCGCTTTTAGTTTTATGAAACTGAAAATCTATGTTAAACCCATGTAGCTACAAGTATTTCGAGATCCTATGAATATTTTTCCGGTTTAATATTCGTCAGTGTGTAGAGAATTGTTTTCTCTATCGAACGATACAGAATCCAAAATTTTTTGATGTGAAAAATAAAGTTGCTATGCAAAGCAAAATTCAAGGTGTCCGAATAATTTTTGCATATGAAATTAAACAATTGTTTAGGAAATCTTATAAAAATCTTTTCGAAAGAAAACTTCTTCTCGTGGACTCAAGGAAAGACTTCGAAATCGTTCAATGGTATAATTAGAGTCAGGAAAATTTTTCTTTTCTTTGCGAAATATATTTTGCAAGACAATTGTAACAGGATTTTCGCGTCATTTTTATATATGTTGTAGGTAGTTCTATCGGTAGATGATATTGTGATGTCAGTTAGTCATTTGATTTCAAAAAAACAGTTTTTTTTCTCTATGGATAGAGTGTTATGATATAGCATTTACAACTTGATTATTTTATTTATTTATTATTTTGCTCACTTTGAGTCACTTAGACAGAACATCTGGCATAGGGTTAGTACAGCCTAATTTCACAAATCAGTAGTTTTGCCGTAAAAAGTCAGAAGTGTTCTGGAGATTCCTTTCTTTTCTAAATTCGAAGTTTTTTATTTCAAGCTATTATTAGTAATTTTGCAATAGTTTATTAAAATGTACAAAAAGTTAACAGATAGCTTGATATGAATCAGAGGAAATCAGTGAATATGAGCGATAAGTATTTTGCCTTGTGACTTGTCATGCTATTGCTGAAAGATTAATTTTATGAAGAGCAGCTTTTTTTAAACAGATCTGAGATACTTAAGCAATGCGCACAATCATAGTCATTGTTTACTTCTATTTTGAATTCTATCGCAATTAAATTACGTATTATTCTACTTTGGCTATGATGCATCTCACAAAAGCTTACTGCAGCTGAAACCAACTTTAGAAAAACCATATCCATTGAACATTTCAATAAATCTGTTTTCCTTTTGTTTCATTTTTTTATTGGTTTACGATGTCTGCTCTATTCAAAGTAAATAAAAATAAAAATCAGAACGTTTGATAATTCTGATCGAATATTTCTTAGTTTAGCGCATTTTAATGGGCCATGAATAACTCTCTCAGACTCTATAACTTTTATTTTATTTTGTTTGAATCTTTTTGAAAAATTTTGCGGTATGTGGGTTGGGAAAGTGACTTGTCATCTCACTTTTTCATAACGAACTCCGGACATAAGAAAAAAAAAGAGAAAGTGTTCGGAATGGAGTTGTCAATAGCAAAAGTTAATGAAATATAACGAAAAATAGGATGTGCGAAATGAAATTTGTCCAGGAGTTCGTCACGAACTCTGACAACCCATTGTTAGTGGTTAAGCAGAGACATTTTGATGGGAGATCGAAATGAGAAAGTCTGGAAGTTCTTAATGACAAAGACAGGATGATCATAATGAAAACTACAGGGTGTTCGGAATGAAAACGGCAGGATGCTCGTAACTTTGTTGAAATTTACTCACGTTTGAGAGATTGTGAAGTGGAATGCTTGTCTTACAGTCATTCTTATCTATTAAAAACAGAAGGAAAAGTCTTTATATCCGTTAGGATTTGCCAGTAAATTCTTTTACGAACTTCCTATCCATTTCATTCCATTCTTCGAGTCTCTTTCTGTAAAAATTCTATTAGACATACGTTTCGAACATCTGACCTTGTTCATTACGATCTTCGATCACTACATCAGGTATAGCAAGAAGCATTCTATTCCGAACAGCCGGTCACACTTGAACACATGTCCAGAGTTCGAAATTACGTGAGACAAAAAGTACGCCACCCTGTGGGTGGAGGTGTAAGGGTGTGTCTGAAATTGTGATGCACAAAGACCCACACATGCACTTATATCCACACCCACACTCTAAAGCTTCATCGGAAAAATCTTTTGTCGTTGGTTATGCATTATCATTCTCACTATCTAACTATTCATATTTGTTTTGGTCCATAAAATCTATTATCTTCAATTTTCCTCGGCGCTCTTCAGGTCGGAGATCGAGCCAGCCTCATCTCTGCCCAAGTAGTCACAAACTATTGAAAACTCATGTAAAGACAGAAAAAAGAAAAAATAGTCGTGTTTTGCCCACAATTGCGGTTCCCAATTATGAGAGCAAGACGAAAAGTTTGTTTCTTTTCTATGTGTTTACGCGCGTTTTCGCTCCTTCAGATTGCCTGGGTCACAGGCACAATTTGTGCAGTTCGTTTCATTTATGTGTTAATATCTATGTACTATTTTCAAAAGGAATACGACCGAACACATTAGTGGTTCTAGCTTTCTTTTTATTTCCAAAGTTACAAGAATTCCATCTATGAAGAAAATTTCAATGAAAAAGTACAATTCTTGTTTACAGAAAATGAAAAGAAGAGAAGTTTTGTATTTGAAAGATAAGCATCAAGAGAAAGTTTTTGAACATGATAAAACTATTTTCTGCCTGCGAAGAAAAAAACACACTGGATCATTTTATGATCGAGGTAATCCGTTCATC